ATGCCCTGGACACCCTGGACCAAATACCCGAACTTCCACATAGAAGCTACCAGGTATTACTACCATTTGTATCATGAACTAAGAGCCTGATCATTGGAAACTGTCGCTAGGAAACCTGAGCACCCCTAGCAAGTGCAGTAGCTTCATCTTGTCTGGCTTAGGAACCCCAATGCAGTTGCTGTTTCGAGCCACAAAATGCATTATCGTTATACTTGTGGAAGAAGCTTAGCCAGCAGCAGTAGTACTGCAGTAATTCAACAAGAGCAGCTGTGTAAATACAAGTACATTCACCTGTTATTATTTTTGCTGCTGTGCATTACTAGTTCTCTTATTGATTACTTTTCCGTTTATGACTAGTGCTGCTATCGTTCTTGCTGCTGCTGCTGCTGCTGCTGCTTCCAAGTACAGCTACGACTAGAATGTCTAACGACGTCAATGACGATGATGAGCAGCTCGAGACGGCCGCCGGCGCCGCCACCAGCACCTCCACCAGCACCAGCACAAGCATCACCAGCAGCACCAGCACCGCCGCTGCATCGTCCGCCCTTTCACGGGCACTGCCACCGCCACTGCTGCCACCACCACCACCACCGCAAGCCCGCCACCTCCATGATGCAGGAGCCTGCCACCAGCCGGTGGCAATCTCTGACGGCACCTCTGGGCGAAACCATCTCCATGCTCGCGGCCAGCCAAGCATTCAAAGTTACTGGTGGTTATTAGGGAAGGATTGGGTCCTCGTAGATATACCATCATAGTCCCTATGATCCTTCCTTCCCTGCTAACCACTGCTACGGTAAAGCACAATGGATGGGTTTGCCACCCGCATACAGCTGGAGTATTGGGGCTTCAAAGAAATTGCCCAATGTTTGGGAGCCTGGAATGAAGATTATGATGAATTCGGGCCCATGCTTGAGGTCCTCTACGTATGACAGCACCCTACTGTATAGAAACAACCAGCCACGGTAAAACTCTAACAAACTGGTCAACCCGAAGCGGTTCAAAAGACAGAGCCGAATTCTTCCCTCCCCTGCATCGTGAAGGGATCTTGAACAATGAGTGCCTTAGCATGGCTGAAGATGGATTCCTCTGTTGCAGCGGTGGGCTTCGGGTCAAGGGCTTTCAGCTTAGGGTCTAAGAGGTTAAGGGTTTAAGGGATTGGGAGTAGATGACGGTTCCGGACTTGGGATTTTCGTTTTCAGAAAGGCGTACTGCGACCGAGAGCTGGAGGAGGCATATGACTTCGCTCCTTTGCAGTCCGCCTCCGCGCGCATCTGCCGCAATGAGGCAGCTGGGGCAAGCAAGATCAGAACAATCAGAACACTTAAGAAGAGTTAGAGTGGGTGGAATAATTCACAGAGATAATAGCAGTGATGAGAGTTTGTAATACCAATCAGACGAATCACCGAAGGTCGTATCCTTTCTTCTGCTTTGTTTCTGATTCTGCCTCTGGTGCTACAACCAACTCTTCTGCTGCTACCTTTGCTGCTGTTGCTGCGACTACGATGATCATCCTCCCTAAACCTTAATCCCTAAACCCTAATCCCTGAACCCAAATCCCTAAACCCTAAACCCTACACCCTAATCCCTAGAACACAAAAATGACGCTACAAGACGAGCAAAGCTGTGGAAGCGGAGGTGGCGGTGAAACATCATCGACTTCGTCTTGGGCAAGCTATCCGGAGGCTGCGTGCCAGAAAGGTTCAGGGCCTGGGGGTTGGGGAGTTCTTGGGGTTTGGGGATAAGAGGTTTAGGGGTTCAGGGTTTTGGAAGCCTACATCATGGGCGGTTGCGCAAGCCCAGATGGAGAGGGTGATTTTAGAGTCTAGGAGTTTAGCAGTCTAGAGGTTTGGGGATTCAGTGGTTTTTGTGTGTTGAGGGTCTAGGATTTCAGGCTTTGGGGATAATCTTCTCCCCCTAATGATGGAGAACCAAATGCAAAATTGAATGGATACTGAGCGTATACAGAGGTTATAGCCCTAAAGCGCAACCCTAATCCCTAAACAGAGGTTATAGTCTAGGCAGTACCTCTAATAATGAGCCCCCAGGCCCAATACCTAGCCATGCAGCTGATGGTAGCGTACTAAGAAGATTCAGTATCAGTGGGTGGAGATCCCGTCATTTCAGCCAAACATGTGTATATATATATATATATAGATACACATATTCTCATGCACATGTATGCATGTGTATGTCTCTATACATGTATGCGCCTTTATGAATGCATTTTTCATAACCCCAGCACACCCCCTCAAGCCCCCACATCGCCTTAATCCCCCCCCTAACCCCCCGGCTGTATTCTGCTGGTGTGTGTACACTGCTGCCGACACAGGCCTCCGCTGGAGAGTCTTGTCCTGGAGCCCTGGCACTGGGAGGAATCTTCCACAGGACCAGAACTTTAAGGTCATGCGGCTTTGTTTGTTCTTAGGTCTTAAAGTTGTTGGGGGTTTTAGGATCTGGGGTTTGGGGTGGTGGGGTTTGAGAAGTCTTCCACAGGACCTTCTTCGGAACCCGCTGCTCGACAATCAGGAGGACAACTGTGTCTAGTAGTAGCTTCGGTGTCTCATATTGTGGTTAAGCTAGGAGACCTACCGTCATCATTATTCTCTAGGTACCCCAGTAGTACCCTTTTGCCCTTTTTATTTTGGGGTCTCCTTATTGAAATTGAATAGTAGGAAAAAGGGTACCCTCATTATTAATGGGTTACTGGGGAACCTAGTTCTTACTGTGCCTTGGACAGCCATTTCTGGTCCCAAGGTTGCACGCCTCTCGGCTGCGTACGGCGAAGCATGTGAAGACCTCCTCGCTTCTGGGTTGCCGTTAAGGAACTTCAACAAAGTTACGGTAATGTGGACTCAATATGGACATGAGGTCGATAATGACCTTTCCCAACCATGGTAACTTAACTTATAAAGTTCAGTTTAAAGCCCAACTTAGCTTTAGTTTCCAAATCATGTTTCATTTTCTTTTTCCAAATGAGTCGCCTTTCTTACAACTTGAAATCTTAGACCCCTTCCCTAAATCCTGTATCCTAAACCCTAAGCTCTAAACTTAACAACTCCTAAACACAATTCCTTCAGGATTGGTGGGGCGGCCTCCACCTTGGCCTGGATGTCAGCCAGGGAAATCTCTGGCAGGCCTAGACTCTCGGAGAAGTGCGATGGTTGTTATTGTTATTGTTATTGTTC